TTGTCACTTCAAAATGTATAACTTATATGCTTTCTTATCCTGAAGTTCTCATGTACTTTGTAGTTCTATTGGTCCTCATTTTAAGTCAGAGGTTTAAGATTTAATGTTTTACTTTTTTTTCACTTATGGAAAATTTAAAGTCTTCAGTGACCTTCAGAAGTCAGCCATCACAGTTCAATGAGTAGCTGAATTGTGGCATTATAGTAACAGTCCTCTGGGACACCGTTGTGTAGTATTGTAGTCAGTGACTACATGCTACTGCTGAGCACTTGAAATGTCATTAGTATGACTGAAGAAATTAAAATTTTGAATTTGTTGTTCAGAAAAGTCCCAGTGTAGACATGAGGAAGCAGCTACAACCCAGAAAAGTCGCAGTGTAGACATGAGGAAGCAGCTACAACCCCATCTAGGGAAGCTGTGGCAAGTGATGGCTGCTGGGAGCAAAGGTGGTATTCCAGAGCAGCAGAGGTGGTCTTCTGGAGCAGCTCTTGGGTTTCTCTCTGTATTGAATTTCTTCCCTGAATCACAGCACAGAGCTGAGAAAAGTCCCCAAGATTCCCAGTAAGGTTCATTAAGATTTCTTTTCAAAAGTTAAAAATAAATAAAACAAAACAAAAAAATGAAAGGCCGTCAAAATGACTTAGCAGTAAAAGCACTTGCTGCCCAAACCTTGGGCTATCCATGATCCCTGGAATCCACACTAAAGAGCCAGATTTGGTAGCACAGATCTAGAATCCCTGAACCCCTGTGGAGAGATGGAAAGTTTGCAGGCTAGCCTCAACAAGGTGGAAGGCAGATGAGAAATGAACTCAGGAAAGTTGTCCTTAAATCTCCACATGCTCAATGTGTGTACAACCACACTCACACACACACTCAGATATACACACACACAAAGAGACACACTCATACACACACAAATAAAAATAGAGCTGTGATCTAGGTATACAGATTTCAAAGACTAGGTATGAAGAACATATGTTGTCTCAATATTAACATTTTGATTTAAATTTTTGTTTTTCATACAATATAATTTGATGGTATTTAAATCCTCTCCCCTATACTCACCTATCCTTATTGGCTCCTGCCCAATTTAATGTACTAGCAGCCATCTGTTACTATAGTTCCTTTAGGTGGGGTGGGAACTTCCTACCTACTTCCTCGTGTCTATGCTGGGATTTTGTCTGGCTTGAGTTCGCATGGACATATGCATTCTGTCACCATTGCTGTGAGCTCTTATGAGCAACTGACCAGTTATCTGGAAAACTTTGTTTCTTTGTGGTCATCAATGACCTCTTGTTCTTACAATCTTTCTGTACCCTCTTCCACAATAATCACCGAGCCTTGCAAGCAGAAGTTTGATATAGGTTGTGCTATTCAGTGATAAGCACTATGCAGCCTCTTCTTCTCTGCATATTGGCCAGTTGTGGGTTTTGGTATTAATCACTGTCTCTTGCATAAGAAACTTCTCTGGTGAGAGGTAAGAGATATATTAATCTATGTGCATGACAATAAGTCATTGAGAATCAGTTTAATATTATAACTAGTAGAAAATTAGCATTAGGTTTTTCCCTAAGTCCTGTGATCTGTATAACCTATGCTTCTAAGCCTGATATCAGTGTCAGATATGGGCTCCATTCTATGAAGCAGACCTTAAATCCAATTTAAAGAGTGGTTGGTTACTCTCATAACATTTGTGCTATTATTGCACTGGTTGGCATATCTCACCAGGTGAATTGCTATTATAATTCATAACATTCACCACTGGGGAAGGATGATGATTATTTTTTCCTTCTAGTAGCTTACATAGCAACTTCCAGCACTGTGAACACCAGCCAGTAGAGATGAGGCTCTAAAGTCAACACCAGCTTCATTTCTCCTTTTTTCTATAGCTCATGTATGCATTGTCCTCACCATCCAGTTCTGGTAGGTAACCAAGAGGAGGGGCAATTGCTATAATTATTTGACTGTCTATGGAACCTGTAGTCAACAGCTTCTAGAGCAGGGGTCTATTCCTGGAATTGAGGGTTTTTAAAAATTATTATTATTAGCCTTTGATGTGTAGAAAGGGTAATGTCAACTTGCTCTCCTTTTAATCTCTTTTTATGATGTATATACTTCTAGAAGTTTCTACAATGGTAGGTTCCCATATGACATTTTCTAAAGGCTTTTAGTATTACTTATCCCTCCCTATATGCCCTCCTCTGCCCTGCCTTCTCATTCCTCAACCTGTTTAACTCTTTCTAGTCTAGTATTTCTCTTTCCACTTTCATTCTACTATGTACAACCGCCCATCCCAGGAAGCTTCCTCTGCCATACACCCATGAACATTTATTAGTCTCTTCGCCTCTCTGAATAGTCAAATAAAAAACACATATCTATGATTTCAAAGCTCGTATCCAGCTTTGAGAGAGAATATGTGATGTTTGTCTTTCTGAGTCTTGATGTACTTTGGACACAGGATCTGTAGCAATTGAGCTGTAACTGACCTGGAAGCCTCCTTCTTGAAGACTAGGTCTCCTAAGAAGATATGGTAAAAGCTGTCAGGAGAGAAAAATCAAACAATGATCCTACTCAGTGGTAAAATCTAAGAACCAGAGCAAAGACTGACCCAGTAAACTATCTTTATTTGTGTAGTAGTGGCACTTTTATTTTGGGAATAAGCAACAGCTATCTTATTGGTGTTAAGGCCTGCTCAATGGGAGAGAACTCATGTGTAGTATTATTAAAAACACCAAATACACATGGCTGGAGAGGTCATAGAATCTAGAGATAAAACTACTTCTGTCACTTTCTTAGATCAACAGAATTTCTTACTTTAGTCTAAAATCATAGCTTATATTTACAGACAATGTGCCTTTTACCACTCATCAAAAAAGCTTCTTTTTCCAACAGATAAAGACTATTACAAAATTCCAAAAAATTTCAAACACAAAAAGTCTTTGTGAAGTACCCTGCCTGAAGTGAAAGAACTATAATGCAACTTCAACAACTAATGCTCAAGGAACATTGCATAGAGGGTAGAAAGAATGCAAGAGCCAGAGGGACAAGACACCTGCTGCTATTGAAGGCATTCTAGACATGGTAGCAAAGACACCTACTGCTATTTAAGGCATTCTAGACATGGTAGCAAAGCTGCACCAATGTCATCTCCCTGATATGGTGGTCTAACGAGATCTACATAATGACAAAACCAGTTGACATGTCAAGGTGGATGGTGGAAATGTCACGGAGTCCCTCCTCAAAATGAATAGCTACAAGCAACCAGTGGATTCAGAGGAATGAAGAATAAAATTTCTCCAGGAACTAGCAACCTCAGATGTTATCTAATCCCTAGCAGGGAGCTGTTCTGGTTTGTTTCTCCATTGCTGTGACAAAACACTCTGACAATACCAACTTGGGGAAGAAAGGGTTTATTATTCAGGTTACATCTTTTGGGTCATAGTTCATCAGGAAGCCCAAGGTAGGAACCCAGGCCAGGAAACTGGAGGCAAGCGCTGGAGCACAGGCCATGGAGGAATGCTGCTTACTGGCTTGCTCCCCTGGCCCATGCTCAACCTGCTCTCTTATATAGCATAAGCCCACCTGCCCAGGGGTGGCACCACCCAGAGTGGGCTGCGAACTACCACTTTAATCAACAAAGAAATTTCCCCACAGATGTGGCCACAGGCCAGTCCAATGGCTGCAATTCCCCAAAGGTGTGTCAAGTTGACACTAAAGCTATCCAGCACAGGAGCTCTAAACATGAATACACATGTACACATGAATGGATTCAGTGCACCACACACACACACACACACACACACACACACACACATATATATATTTGTATATTTACACATGTATGTATGTACAGGTAACAAAAATAAAGACGAGGAGAAGAAATTGGCAATTGGTGGGGGGACATGAGAGGAGCTGATATGGGACTGGAAGGGATGGAAATAATATAAAAAACATTTTCTGTATGGCATTCTCAAAGTGTTTTTAAAGGCCTGGGATTAAATAGCAAAGCTCTCAATGTAAGCACAAAGCTTGCTGGAAATGAATGCTTAAGGACAGCATTTCCTGATACCCTAGGCATGCTATAAATGTGGATCACAACAATGGAAAAGCTATGATCCTGGGTTTCCTTTCTTTGGTGTTAAGGACTCAGCTGCGTCCTTTCCTTCCTGTTCCAATGAGTTAATACCAACTCTTCGAACCTCTTTGCTTTTATTTGCTTACTTTTAAAATGCTATTTTAAGTTGACATATAAAATGATACATATGTATTGGTTATCATGTTACTTTTGATATATGTATAATTCCTGTTATGTTCAACACCCCATCTTTTAGTTTTATCAAAATATAGACAACCATAGTATCATTTATAGTCACTTAATACTTAGTACTTTTTTAACCTCTAAAATAGCACATCTAAGACTTTCAACTTTAGTTTACAATACAGGAAAATCAGAAGTAAGTTCACATTTCTGCAATGATCATTTTCTTCTTCTATAGGGCATTTGAAATTATATATACATATGTATATGAAATGAATGAGGTTTTTGATGTACACAGTTATTATTTAGCCAAAATTAAATCTTATTTTCAAAAGATAATGAATGTAGAATAGTATCAAAAGAAACAATTTTGACTTAAAATTTCATTGCTAATTATATCTATGAAAGTAACTTCGAGAACTTTTAACCATGTAGGATAACATACTCAAGGTTATAATATTACATATTTTCTAGAACACCAAAGAAACCTAAAGAGTATGGAAACCTTCAGGATATTAAGCTTAAAATACATGGAAAATGTAATTAAATTCCTATGTATTATTTATGACAATTATCTTTATGCTTCAGCAGGTGCAGTATTAAGCCTGAGTTTATTAAACATTTCTTCAGATCTAAATTTATTATATTTTGAATCAGCTTAAACTTAAATTTTCTTAAGCAATTATATGTCATATAACATATTTTTCAAACAACCAGGCTGAGTAAGTGAAGGTGCACTCACACTGTAGAGAGCATATCATGGGAAGCAGAGATTGTTGTTCACATACTCCACTGTGTCATCAGAGTCTTGAGATATTACATTCTCATTCTGTCGAAAGAGAAGTCAAAGATTAGCTAAGTGCACTGGGTGAACTATATATACAGAGAAATGATCGGCTCCAGTGGGGGGGGGCTATGGGAGGGTGCTGGTTGGAATGGGGGTATAAAGATTATTAAGATTGTTTGAGATGTTCTATATGAAATGCACAAAAATTCAATAAAAACAAATTTTTTTTTAATAATTTATTGAGAATTTCATACAGGGATACAAGCATATAAGGTGTTTTGATCAAATCCATGCCCACTCCCTCCCCCTCCAACTCCTCCCATATCTCCCTATCACTTTTTTCCGATAACTTCATGTACTCTGTTTTGTTTATTTTTTTATGGGGCTTTTTGCTCCTTTAACATTCCCGCTGTGAAGAGGTAACCATAAAATCTTTTAAGCATTAGATTAGAGCTCCCAAATAATTTAGACATTTTTGGCCTTTGGAATGGAGTATATTGCTAAGAGGCCCAAGGACATTTTGACTTTTAGCCAAGAAGCTGGCTACTTTTCTTTGGAGTCTTTATACCCTAACTGCCTAGCCAGTTCCTACCTCCTATTCTTCTCACACCATCCTCTGAAGAAGTTACCCAGCTTGTGGACAGAGACCACTCTGACTTGATAAAAACAAATTTTAACTCATGCAATCTCTATGGAAAACAGTGTGGAGAACTCCTTAAAAACTAAAAATGAACCTACCATATGACCTGGTTACACTACCCATTGCACAACCATGTTTGTTGCTGCTCTTTTCACAATAGCTAAGAGATGGAAGAAACCTAAATGCCCCTCAATTGATGAGTGGTTAACAAAAATGTGGTATATTTACACAATGGCATTCTATTCAGTAGTAAAGAAAGATGAAATAATGAAATATGCAGGTAAATGGATGGATCTAGAAACTGTTACAGTAAGTGAAGTAACACAAACACAGAAAAACAAATGACATATATTCTCCCTCATATGTGGATCCTAGCACCAAATCCTTTTAAATTCCAGGTCCTTTTAATAAGATGAGGCTATACAGCAGTCCTTCTGCATGAAATAACTAACCTCATCATGACTTCAGCTGATCCTGATCACTAAACATCATCACAATTGGGTTTGTTGACAGTTGTGCTCATTCATTAAAGGAGGGCCAAGCAGGGTCATTGGACCTCACTGCACTATCCAGCCACTCTTCCCAGCCAAGTGTATGTAATTTGACCCTAATCACACATGGCCCTGGATTTAGGGAGAGCTAAAGTACACAATCTCGGGAAGCCTAGGAAGAGAAAGCATGACCCATGCTGGGTAAAGGCTTTCCAACGTGCATACCCTCAGGTCATCCATATACCTCAGCAACCCCTCAATTATCTCTAAAAGTAAGCTCAATAAACTCATTAGTTACTCAGTAAAACTTTAATCAAACATTGGCTCTACACTAGAACCTTCAAAGGGAATAAGCATTGCTTAGCATCCCCAGGAAAAGAAGTCTCACAACAGATGGAAAATTTATTTGTTAATGCTATTGTGTCTCATAATTATTTAAAAAAATGATGCCAGGTATGGTAGTGCACACTGTTAATCCCAGCATTTGGGAGGCAGAGGCAGGCAGGTCTTTGTGAGTTTGAAGCCTGCCTGGTCTACATAGCAAGTTCCAGGACAACTGGGACTACAAGGAGATGCTGTCTCAAAAAGACAAAAAAAAAGGAATGGAAAAGAAAAAATATGAGAATGTAAAAGATGTTAAAAGGATATGGGAACGGAGATATTTTCCAAAATAGAAAAAAATGAGAAAGCCTAAGCAAGTGATGAAGGTCTGTTTAGGTTTGTTATGATATATAAATGATAAGACAAAAATAATATATACGTAATCTTAAAATTTCTATGGTCATAGTTTAATCAACTAATTTAAGGAAGAAAATATATATCTAGTAAAGTTTATCTGAGAATATTTTGTTTTTTTACCTAAGCCTTATCTACATAGCACATGATAATTAAAAGTACCAAACTGGTGGAACTAACCTTATTGGATGTTTAACAGTCAGAGTTTGAGGCCTATACTAATGTGGTCAGAGGGACTTAAAGGACAGTTTTTTCCCTTGCACTCCAAGGTCGACTAAGTTCCAGGGGACTATGGAACATCTCTCAAAATATCCTGTAACTGTGGTAAGTCACATGTACCCTTGTTTAGGAAGGGTATGGAGACCCCATGAGATGGACTTGAACCAGTGTCCAGTCTACAAAGAGGAGGGTCAACTCAGAGGAAACATATCATTCACTCTTCCAAGTGAACCAGACATGGTCAAGCAGGACCTTTGACTTATCTTCACATAGATGGAACTGGTAAAAGAAAGGAGACAGGAGCTCCTCTCAAGCCCAGGTGACCCCTGAGGAACAGATCCTCAAATGGCCTTAAGTGTAAAATTACTTGGGCTAACTGTATGGTGTTAAACACCCAAAAGGAAAGTATAACCAAAGAGTAAAGTCACCAGTATACGTCTTTAAGAGTTCAATCCAATGTCTGGATTACACTTCCCAGACATTAGGCTTAAGTTTATGTAAAAAGTTATTTAGACAATTATTTCTCATTGATGATTTTGTTCCTAGTCAGAAAGTTCTACTGAGATGTAAGACTTCAAATCTTGGTCTCTAATACTGTAGTGCCCACCTGTAGCTAGGGGAGACAACTAGCTATTGTTCTAAAATGATGGATAAATTTGTTTTCTCCCCCATCTAGAAGCCTTTGAGGGGGAACTGACACTGATTGTAACCGCTCCAACAGCTATCAAAACACCTGAAAGCAAATCCTGAGTCCATCAGTCTCGAGTTCAGTCTTGGAAGACAAAAGAAAAGTGAGGAGGAACCCAACAGAAGGATGCTTTTGGAATATCTCATCAAGAAATCCCAGTGGACTCTGATAAGAACATTTAAAATTTGCCGTGTTCTGACTTTTTTCTGGTTCCCTGTCTAGAACTTGCAATGCTAACTACTCTTGCCTTTACTTCTCTTTCACATCCCCTATTCACCAGTCAAGGACCTTCTTGTCTCCCTACAGGTAAGAGTTATGCATCTTTTGGATAGACCCACTGAAGGGGAATGCCAATTGCCTCACACTGTGTCCCTGTTCAGCATGGAAGAAGCCAGAGCAGTCTGCGTCCAGATTCCCTATTGGCAATTTGGCTAACCTCTTCGGAGGATGGTGTGATAAGAATAGGAGGTAGGAACTGGCTAGGCATTTAGGGTAAAAAGACCCCAAAGAAAAGTAGCTGGTTTCTTGGCTAAAAAAAAAAACCAAAAACCTCACAATGTCCTTGGGCCTCTCAGCAACCCACTCCATTTTAAAGTCCAAAAATGTCAAAAATATTTAAGAGCTTTTATCTAATCCTTAAAAGATATTAGGGTTACCTCTTCAGAGGGGGGAATGTTAGAGTAGCCAAAAGCCCCATAAAAAATTAAATCAAAGAAGAAGAAAGAGTACATGAAAGTATCAGAAAAAAAGTGATGGGAAGATATGGGAGGAGTTGGAGGGGAGGGAGTGGGCATGGATTTGATCAAAACACCTTATATACATGTATGAAATTCTCAATAAATTATTTATTTTTTAAAAAACTTACCATAGATATTACAAAAAATAATAGGAAATCACTTATGAATCTACATATTTTTATACAGTATTACTGTAATTTTTACTCATGTCAATGTATGATTTTTTTTAATTAAGAATACTATTGTAATATATATGTTATAAAAAGGAGATGTTATTGTAAAGAATGAATGCTGTAGACAAAACTCTAAAGAAGTGGATATCTCTTGATACCCTATATTTCATGCACATATTTTACTAGGCATTTTATTTATAGTATAAACTGTGTCCACAGGAAATAAAATAAAACAAAGTTACTATATCATCTAGATAGTTTAATTACATACATAATGTAATATAGGTCAAATAACTAGATAAACTTGTCTAAACACCTTTCATTTTCAAGTTGATATTTGTCAGCCTAATTACACAGTTCCTGTGAATAAAGGAAAGGATTCTCAAATATTCTTGAATTATTTTTCTATTATTGGTAGGATTGTACTTAATAAAATGAGAAAGTGACTTACTAGAATTCAATCACACTAGTAGGAATAAATATTTGCAAAATTTAGAGAACAATGTATAGCTCAGACTGGCTTCGAATATGATTTTCCTGCCTCAGCATCCCTGTAGTCTATTAAGGTCTGGGATTACTGTGTATGTCATTAATTCATCAGCCACAAACACCTTCACACTATAGAATGAAATAAAAAAGATTCAGTTGTCACCTTAAGATTGCCTCCTTAAACTGTATGCTTTAGATTTACTACTTGTCAAAAATGTGGTTTTGCTCCAGACTCAATAAGCTGCTCACGTTTAGAGATCACTAAAGGTATTTCCCAGTGCGCGCGCATGCACGTGCACTCACACACAGACACACACACACACACACACACACACACTCACACTCACACACACACACACACACACACACACACACAGTTTTTTTCTAAATGTTTTTTCTCAAAATCTTAATTTTTTTCTTTCTGAAATTAATATATTTAAAAATAAACTTTCACTTATGTTGAGAACTTTATGCATCCTTGAATTATGCTTAAGAGAGGTCATAATTTAATTTCCCATCGCATTTAGTGCTTTCTCCTAATGCACTTTGATACTGATTGAAACATATTTGAAGAAAATACAAGTATGAAGAAATATACTAACTATAAAAATGAATTCTCAACTAATTCTTTTTTTTTCAAGTGTACAAGAAAATACAAGTGTATCACTTCATATTTTGTGACACGTACTTAGGGTGTTGTAGGAGCAATACGCGAAGCAATGATCTACAGTAGGCTTTATTTTCCTCCCTCTTAGTGGTTATGATAATTCAAACCCTCAGGCATATCAAGAATCTGGAAAGCACCTGGGGCCCTGGCCAAATGCAAACCTGACATCACAGTGCCTTCTTTCTGACTTCAGCCTTCACTTG